TATATATATATATATATTCTGTATGTTATATACAAAAATTATAGTACAGATTTTATACACTTTTTCGGCTACCGAGTAAATAGTTTCTGTGCGGCCTAAAAGTGATAATAAAAATGATGCTGTCTAATCGCTTTTAAAATAATAGTCAAAAAAATCTATAGTTTTTGTATATATATACATTCTGTATATTATATACAAAAATCAGAATTTTGTAAATAGTTTTTGGGCGGGCTAAAGTGATAATACGCCTATAAGAATTCACATTCCATTATTAGGGGTTCCTTTTGTAAATCCAAACTTGCCCAGTTACACTTAGGCCCATGTTGATGATTGGGTATCAGTCTGAGCTCGGCCCAGCTATCATTGTTCCCTAGCAAAAATTCAAAAATAGCCAGATTTACAACTGGTCGTTTAAAAATAGCTAGTTTCAAAAGTAATCAAAATTTAGCCACTTTTCATGTAAAAATAAATTTGAGAAAAAATACTTTTCAAAACCCGGAAAATACGTCAGTATATTATGCTGGAGTTGCAGCATAAGTATACTTGAACTCCAGCATATTATACTGGAGTTCCAGGATAAGTATGCTGGAACTCCAGCATAATACGATGGAGTTCCAGCATAAGTACAGTAGAACTTCAGCATAATATACTAGAGTTCCAGCAAGTATATTTGTCCAGCATGATATACTGGAGTTTGGAGCACCGGTGTCCAATCACCAGTATATATACCGGAGTCAGCAAAGTATATCGGTCCAGCATAATATGCTGGAGTTGATACACAGGTGCACCGAACTCCAGTATACTATTTTTCATTGACTTGGTAAAGGCGGACTATTTTTAGATGACCAATGTGAAAACTGGCTATACCGTGCTATCTTTACTTGTTCCCTCCCTCTTCTTCAAGTGTATATTATCTTTTCCAGTTCTATCCACCTCAGTTGAAGCTTGTACGCTACGTACATTGTTAATCAGCACATTTGTAACAGCTAGAAAGTATAAATTCTGCACGGAAGGAGACGAGAGAAGAAAATTTAAATAATTTCTGTTCTTTTTACCTAAATTAGGGTTTTCTTGTAGCCAATGGCGACTCACAGTTTTTCATTACTTTCAATCCCGTCTTCAACTTCGACTTCTTACAATAGACAAAATGATAATAATACTCTAACTCAAAAGTATTGTAAGATTCTAGCTTCTTCTTTTACTGGCGGAATGGTCTCTATTCGGCCGCAGAATTTGAACGTTTTTGCTCTCAAACGGCGTCGTTCGACCGTGGCAACGGTCTCCTTCAGCCTCCCAACTGCGTAAGCTTTCATGTTGCTCTGTGTTTGCTTTTTCATTTGCTTGTAAATTAACAGAATTTTGTTTGCGACGGTTGGTTTTTGTATTGCAGAAAACCAGAGAGAGCTCCTTCTGATATACAGCCCAGGTATGTCTGCTTAATTTTGATTTCTAATTGTACGAATTAAGCAGTGTTATACAGTTTAATAGAAATCAGTCAATCAATCAACTATGCCTCAATCCCAAATCAGTTGGGGTCGGCTTTATGAATTTTTGTATCCATTTGGTTTTGTGATATAAGAGAAGCTTTTGAATAATTGTTGTAGATGGTCGGCAAGAGCAATAAAGGCATTTGCAATGGCTGAATTAGAAGCAAGGAAGCTCAAGTACCCAAATACTGGCACCGAAGCTCTTTTAATGGGAATCTTGGTCGAAGGTTAGCATTGAACTCAGTGGATGCTGCTGTAAAAACTACATTTTGACACCTAGCGTGGGGCATGCATGTTTGTTTATGAAATATGAATCATACTTTGTCTATTAGATTAGGAGGATAGTTTCTTTTTGATTTTGAATGAAGAGAGATCTGTTTTGCTAGGAACCAGTTTGGCTGCCAAGTTTTTGAGAGCAAACGGTGTAACCCTTCTCAAGGCGAGGGAAGAAACTGTGAAGTTGCTTGGAAAATCTGATATGTATTTTTTCAGTCCAGAGCATCCTCCCCTTACTGAACCAGCTCAAAGGGCTCTTGACTGGGCAGTTGATGAGAAATTGAAATCAGGTAAAATCATTGCTTTTTATGAGAAGATCTACATATATATTTTTTTTTGTTAAGGAGATCTACATATATATATATATATATATAGATAGATAGATAGATAGATAGATAGATAGATAGATAGATAGATAGATAGATATAGATATATATAAAATCATTTATGGGTATGTGCAGAACAACCCCTGCAAGTATACTATGCACATATAAAGCTTAAGATATATCAGATTTACTTGAGAGGTTTTAACAGTGACATCGGCTCTAGATAGTATACCATTTTCCCAGTACACATATGTGTATGCATAAGGTCTTATTAATGACAAGAAGTAGAATAGGGATAGTACATAAAATCCCCCTAAACTATAACCAGATTTCCAGTTATGCACTCAAACTGTGCGAGGGACCTATTATCCCCTGAACATCTTCAAAGTGGAATTGCGAGGGACCTATTACCGCCTGAACATTTTCAAAGTGGAATTTTGATCACTCTGAGTGGCCAAAACGAGATTTAAGTTGGCAGTGTAATGCACGCGCGTTGCCATGTGTTTTCCATGTCATTTTTTTACTTTCTTTAATTCTTTTTTTGAGGTGGTGGAAGAAGGGCAGATAATGTGGTGGAGGAGGTGGTCCAGGACGTGAGACTTATTGATGGTGGTGGTGGCGGCAGCAATGGGGTTGTGAGTTGTGGTGGCGGTGACAACAAAAGAGGTGGAAGGCAGTGATTGTGTGTGTGGGTTTGAGATTGGTTTTTCCTGTGAGAACTGGTATCCTGAAGGGAATATAAGTACATGGAGTGAAAAGCAGAGACAACTTGTCTTGCTTTCACTAACTGTTTCATGTACTTCCTTATTGGAATCATCTTATCAAGAAACGAAGAGATGATCAAAGAGAGAGATATTGAAGGCAAAATTTGAGATTGCTTTACATCTGATCCAGTGGTGACCAATAGATTTATTTCTCTACTTGTTTCTGCATGTATTTAACCTAAATTTGAAATTACAAGCTTGCATCTTAAAACCAAAACTTCTCTCTCTAGTCTTTTGTACCAACAACCCATTTTTTAATCTTTCTCTTCTCTTCACACGTGTCTTTGGGCTATTATGGACACTTCCTACTTTTCAATGTCCATCATGCCCTATCCGTGAAAAAAAGTAGGGGTTGTATGATCCAAATTTGAATTTCATTCTCTCGTTAAGTTAATTATTGGGCATGCAAACCCTAAGCCAATATACACCTTCTATTAGTTACATTGAAAGAAGAGAGGAGATATAAGTATTCGTTTTAGGGAAGGGAAGGAACTATAACAAATGGCGTGTACATGGCATGGCATATATTGTGGTATTCGGTTTAGGGTATTGGCAAGTGAAAGAAATGGAGGAGCTACTACAACTAATAAAAGGTGTAGGGTTTGCTTGCATAGTAATTGCTTGTATTTCAACGCATTAGGCGCGCATGGAAAAGTAAAATTTTCCCTCTATCACAATATTTATTTCTTCTATGCATTGGAAAAAATTCATAATTAATTTTATGAGAGAGATTGAGATCCAAATTTGAATCTTACAAAATCCTACTTATTTTCACAAAGGGTATTATGGGCATTGAAAAAGTAGGAAGTGTCCATAATACCCCCAAGACACATGTGAAATTAGAGAATAGAGAGAAAATGGGTAACCAGATTTCGTCGTAAATGTTCCTAAACTGTGTCGGGGAACTTATGTGGAAAGCCATAATTCCAAGAAAGTTCCAGGAAGCTTGCCTAAACATGATAATCTTGCAAAAAGTGGAATAATACTATGAAACAGGTGTTACATGTGTATACAAGAATCAGAAAACATCAACCATTTTCGTCCCCTGTCAAGCTGCCAGAGACATTAGGATTTAGGAGTATGTTTTAAAACCTTTTTGGAATGAACAGGGTAATGCCCTATACCATTAAATGAGCATATGTTAGCTTGGGTCTCTCATCTCTGGATAGCAGGGTTGGCTACAAAATGCATATGGAAAATGGTGTCAGCATGTTTTTGAAGCATTTGGAAAGAAAGAAACTTCAGATGTTTTGAGGGTGTCATTTTCCTTCTATACAAACTTAGGGCTAAATGCCCAATGAGTCTTTTTGTTGATGTAAACTTGAAACTGCAAATATTCAGATAAATTTATGGTTTTTGTTATAAATTTATCTAGACTAGCTAAATTTGTTAGCTCCTTGAATTACACCTATTAGTTCGCTGGATATTGGTGAAGTTGGATCCCTTTATGGACCTAATTGAGGCATGTAAGTGCCATTACATGCATGGACCGAAGAGGGGTACGGCATGAAAATATTGACTAGAGTACAATCTTTTCCGGGTTGGTTGTGTCTCAAATATACTCCTTGTAATAGATTTGTAGTGGTTGTGGCTTACTTGCTTTGGTTGCTTCCCATTAGATTCAGCCCAGTCCTATTGATTGATCATGCATGAGGTGAAGTGGCAGTAAAACTGTGGAAGTGGTAGTGGTACCACAAAATAGAACTGATGGATTCGGTGTCTCCTGTAAATTATAATCCTATTATGCACTGTATTTTCTTTGATTATTTCACTAATCAAGGGAAAGAAAGAAGCGTACGTAGTTTTTTTTCTGCTATGGGGTGGGCATGTCTATATGCAGGCCATCCATCTGAATTCAGATATATTTCATTCTAGTACTAATTAGATTGTCGTATAAGGCAAATTAGGGGTTATCTAAAACTAGAGATTTTCTAAATTTTGTACTTATCCCTACACTGATATAGAATCTCTAATGACAAACATTAGATCTGATGTAAGTGTAAAACAAACAATTAAGATTTAATCTCAAGTGGTTGGTATCGCCTTTAAGGATTTTTTGTTGTCATTGAGTTCTATTCTTCATTAGGTCTTTATGAGGTTTGCATGGTCCCGAGAAGTCGTCTAATTAAAATAACTCCTTTTTTTTAATAAGGTAAGATTTTATTAAAAGGTATCAAGATGATACAAAATTACAAACATCCAAACATATACAACAAGACAACTACATTCCTCCTAGCTCCTCTAGAAAATCCATATATTGTTCCATATTTTCCATGACATGTCTTTTACACCAGCAATACAAGTTTAATAAGCTTCTGTTTTTAATCCTGGATTCATGCTGCCTTTCCCCTTCAAATAACTCCTTTCCATGTGATTAAAATAACTCCTCCATGTGGTTTTAGGTCTAATTCGTCCGCATTATGAACTTTTAAGGTGTACCTGTATGATTTCGTTAACTTTATACCATAAACTTTAATAAAGTTCCTCGTCCATAAAAAGGAAAACTTTGATAAAGTTAAGTTATTTTAGGAATTGATTTACTTACAAAGCATCTGCTGTGCTTGCACACAATGTCTGCCTGCTATATCCTGTCCTTATTTCTTCAAACTGTGTCTCATGTATACAAATAGGCACCTTTCATATCCTTACATTTCTAGAGATTTGATGTGCTTAGCTCAAGGTCAAATCAAGATATGTTTTGGCCGCTTGAGGCTCCTTCAGTAGAAGTATATTCTCTTTAAGCTGCTCCATTTACTAATGTTCTTCTGCTCTTCTCAACCTGATTTTGGAAGACAGACTTTACTAATGGGGTAAGACCACCTCAAACAGTACTTTGAAGATTATACTATTGCCTCAGTTTCATTTCAGGTGATACCATTTGACTGAACACGAAGTTTAAGGTGTTAATTTGGTTTCTGTCTTATGTAAGTAGAAGTAGAAAAAGAAATTAAAAGTAATGGTTAAAAAGTTTGATCGGGAAGTTCGAATTAAATTAAGAATTTACTAGGTCAAATTTACTTGCATCTTGAAATGTTGAAGCGATTTAGAATATATCAGTGGGAAGGTAGTAAATCATTTTAGATATTACAAAATAGAAGAAATGTCATTTGAATTAGGACATCCAGAGTGTTTGTTTTTATTTTCCCCATCTTGAAGTAATAGAATCACATCTATTGCCAGAAAAACAACCACATCATCCAATGGTCTCACCATCTTTAGATTTTCTGACTATAACGTATGCCACTGTTCCTCGAGAATTTCTCAGTTATCCTAAAAAAAAGTAAAAAAAAAAAAAAAAAAAAAAAAAAAAAAAAAAAAAAAAAAAAGAATTTCTGACTGCCATTTTAAAATCATTTCAGATTTGTTGTGTCAAGTTCCTGAGTCATTTCGAGTCTAAGTTACTGACTCAGTAGCTATGCGACCTAAGCCTGTGAGACAAGCTTGTTCACCTGTTTCCTTGGAACATCATAATCAATATCTTTATCCAGTGTTGTGACGTGTTATTATGTTATTGATAAAAAAATTAATAATGAAGAGGATGAAACACCATAATTTTGGAATGACTACTTAGCCATGGAAATGCATGGTGAAACACAATAATAAAACTAAGGATGCCAACATTGAGCTAAAAATCTTAAGCCAGGCTCATCTATCTGGAGATACATGGCAAGCATCATCAGACATTCAGACTCTTCTTTACATGTATGAAGTATGATCTCTTGATCATATTTGCAGGTGAAAGTGGGGAGATAACCATAGCATATCTGGCTCTTGGTATTTGGTCAGAAAAGGAATCAGCTGGGCATAAAATAATGGCTACACTTGGTTTTGATGACGAGAAGGCTAAAGAGCTAGCCAGATCTGTAAGTTCACTGGATTTCTATTATTATTAGTCCCTCAATGCGACACTCACATCCTTTCTTGTTTGCAGATGGACAAGGACATTGAGATGAGCTATAAATAAGTGTCTTTGGAGGAACAATAAATTGATGCATCCTTGCTCTCGCAATCTTCAACTAGTTTCTGGCTTTCTGCTGCGGAAGAGCTTATTAAAAAGTGTGTTTGGCCTTGTAGCAATTTTGCCCCATACACATTTAGCATTGATTTTTCCTCTCTTTTTTTATTCGGTGGAAGACATTCTGTAATCTAAACGGCAACATTAATACCGTCAATTTCAATGCTGTAGTATCTCAAATTGCAGTAGTCATTTCGACAGTCCCCCCTTTTTTGGGCTTGGGGGAGTGTTTTCTTTTACTTATAGACTGTTCTCTGTCTACATCTATAACGAAATGATGGCAGTCTAAGATCCGAATTCTTTTGCCTAGGGGTCAACTATGTTTACTTGATATTCTCATTTTACTGATAAGATTAAATCAAGTGAAATTTGATCTAGTAAAACAAGTTCCTACATGGAGTCTGAAGTTTTTGAACACCTGATCTCAGCTTGGACTAGTAAATTAGAGCACAAGTCAGGCTGATGTTTCTCGTAATTCTCACCCACGATAGGTTTGTGAAATGGTTACATTTGAATTTGACCTCCGATAAAGATTTAAGGAAGTTTCTTTATTTACAGTGAATGACTTACTCTAACATCTTGATTGCTCGTTTTTTGATTTTTCGTTTCAAATTACGCTTTGATTATGTATAAGCCGATATTATTGTTGATGACTTGTTGGTAGGGCTTGAGTTGAGACCCGAGGGTTTCGTACAAATTTTGAAACCCTTAGAAGTTGAAAAGCATTTGTTGATTTGTTGAGTTCTGGTGCGTTAGCAAAGATGAGAGCGATGGCAAATGGAGGTAAACTTGACTGGCTTTTGGGAACTGACAACGATATCGCAATAGTGAGCTGACCCTGCCTGGCTTAGTGTCGCCAACACGAGGAGAGGCTCGCGATAGTGCTAGCCTAGCTCAACGTCGCAAATGCGAGGAAAGGCTCGTGATAGCAGTGGTCTGTCCAATCACAGGCTTTGCGATTGCGTTTTTATTTTACTTCAATCAATGACGACTAATGGACATGAGATTGAGCAGGAGTCCCTATTGAAATTTGATGAACCATTGAAGAAACAAAAACAAGGTTAAGTTTAGCTTAATGTATTTTTCCCACATTAATAACGATGAAGTCTCATCCCACAATCCCGACCAACAACTTGGGAATAGGGACATCAACCTAGTAAAGAGGCTTAAGGATAAAAGGTTTTTCGCTCAGAGAAAGGGCTCAGGTTGACTTTTTAAAGATCAAATTGTACTTCTTCGTAGATTATTCGTGGCACGGGGGAAGCACTCGTGTAGCTGCAACATAATTTGCAAAAGGAACTCATCATGACTTTGAACATTTTTCTTCCATGACCCCTCTAATTGACTTTTTAAAATTTTATTTTAACCTTATATCTAATTTATATTCATATTTCAGAGTATATTAAATCGATTAATACGAATTCGTGTAGAATAATTAAGTTCATTAAGGAGTAGAAGCTTTCTATCAAAAATTTCAGGTCGAGACTTCTAATTGTAGATGGAGACTCCCAACCATCCTTTTTATTTTCTCCATGTAATTTGCTGTCATAGTATCAATTGAGAGTCGTTTGTCCATAAATAATGTTTAATTCAATTTCAATCAGGTTTAGAAGTTATTTTTTAAAATTTTCACTCATGAAGCTTCAATTGTGTTTTCATGTTCAAATTTCAACAAAGCTTCAACTTTCGAATATTCTTTTTTCCACTAAAAAAATATTTTTTTAACTTAACTTCAAATACTATTTTTTTTTCTTCCAAAATTAGCTAATTCATGCTCAAATGCACGTTCAACTTCTTTTATCATTAAGTTTATTTTATTAACGAAAAAAGAATAAAATAAACAATCAGGTTGTTTAAAAAAGGTGGTGTTGTTAAAGTGAGTTTTTGGCAAAAATTAACCCTTATCTTTAAGGGTAAGTTTAACTTTGTCCTTCAAATATAACCTTGAGCGCCAATTGTCCTCTAAGTTTGCAAATGTTGAGTGTCTTTAGTCCAAGTAACAGATAACACAACATCCATTAGAAAACTAACCGAGCTACAACTCAATTGCACGCTAAACTTTTTTTTATTTTAAAAACCCATCTCTCTTTCACCCCAAATCAGTTGATTGCGAAATTTTCTGCCGGAAAAAATTATTACTTCCACCGAATTCAAACAACCCAGATAGCTGGTGAACTTAGAGTGTTACTATGGCCGATTTAAAGCTTGGAAAACTGTAGATGTCACGACTTGTTGATGTCACGACCCAAACCGATGGACCGCGACGGGTGCCTGAGTCCTGCCTGTCAAACACCCCAAAGCATGCGTCTAGGATATGAATTTGTATAACATCTGTTGAATTACGAAGATAACATACATGAAGAAAACCTGTCAACAAGGCATATGTATGTATACATGCAAAATACAGTGGGCGAGCCGGCAAGGCTACAATAGACAACTATACATCCAATAACTGAAAGCCGACAAGGCATATACAACCCAACTAGTCATACTGTCTACAGACCTTTAATGGAAACATAACTATACAAAGACGGGACTGAGCCACGTCATTCCTATATATATATCGTACCAAAATCAAAAGCAGTTTTGGATCAAGTGGAGCAAGTCAACTCTCGTTGATCATGGATCTTAAGAAGGGGGACCGTCAGCTTGCCTCCCTACACTTGCGGGCATGAAACGCAGGCCCCGTGATAGAGGGCGTTAGACTAGTACGAAAAATGTACTGAGTATGTAAGACATGAAAATTAGTACGTAAAAGATATAGATGAAAGATGGAATATAGAAACACGTCTTTAAATCTGAATAACTTTATATATTCTAAAACATTTATAATATCATGCATGTGCGTATAAATGTCGTGGCATGCATAGGTATGTGTGTACATTATATCATCAAGCCACTTAGGGCATCCCATCATATCGTCTCGGTCACTGTGGGCAACATCATCAACATATACCAGCTGATCAAGTGGTGGTGCGTATATAACGCCGTAACCTTTTCCCATATCCCATATACATATATTTATGTATATACGCGTATATAACGCCATCTGGTCATGGGTCAATGCACATATATAAATGGGTGAAATGCATGAAAAATATGTAATAATCTCAATATTCCTTCTAGATAAACTTTTTCAACTGCGTATTATTTTGAGACTCATGAACAAAAGATAGTAATAATTCACATGAGGAATCAAGAATATAGACACCCATAATATTTCTATGAATAGAGTAATTTATGGAAACTGTGCGTTTGCTCGTTTATTCGGTATAATTTGGACAATGCTGCCAAAAGAAAGAGGGGATAGCCTTAACATACCTGGAGTAGGGAAAACTTCGTATAATATTCCGTTGGAAACCTTCGTGGATTGAATTTAGAACCCAAAAATCGGATTAAATTTCTGTTTTTTTTTTTAAATTTTTTTAACGAAATTAGCTTCTGCTTCTTCAAAATTCTTGAACGAAACCTCAAAATTCTTGCTTGTTGAGGTACTGAACGAATTTCTTAAGTCTGTTCTTGAATTTTTCAAATCAAGAAAGAAGGCATCCTTGCTTTTTGGAGTGACTAAGACTACGTTACTTAAGAAAGACTTAGGATCTGATTTCAGTGTCTTGAGAATGAAACTTTGAAAGAGTTTTAACGTTTTTCCCTCACCTTTGATTATAAAATTGTTGCATGGAAATTCTTAAGGTTGAAATGAATGTGTAATCTACTCCTTATGCCACCTCATAAGAAATGACTAAGAGTCATTTCTTTAGGGTGTGGCCTACTGCCACATGGGGATTGGAAGAAAATTTAATCTTTATCCACTTATTAGGTAATTAGGTAATGTCCCGTTACTCGATAATTAATCAATAATCGCATAATTAAAAATTATCTCAAATTACTTGAAATTTTACCTATTTTTAATATACTTTATACATCATACTATCGTGGTCATATGATACCTTGCATGATACTAGTCCATAAGTATTGGGTATTATAGCTCGAACCGTATTTTATTCAAATTCGACAACCTTCAACGAAACTCATTTTCTTTAATTCGCGCACCCTTTCCTTCATGGCACTTGCTTATTGCTTGGTATAAATAGCATAAATTTGCTAACATCAAGATAATCTCATCCTCAAATTTATGTCAATTTACTGAAGACGAAACTTTAACGTACGAAAAACACGAAATGTAACAGTTGATTACACTGGGTGGGGTGGTGGTTTATTGGTTGAGCGTAAAATGAGGAGGAATGGTTAAGAACGACATTGTTGTAAGTCTCACATTCAAGAAGTGTTTTTAACCATGTCGTCAGAGCTAATGAGAACAAGGTCCCCTGCCTCCGGCATCGACATTTTCTATGTTGCATGGGTAAAAATTTTCGATTTATTTTTCTAACAATTGGTGTTTTCTTCTTTAAGTGAATATAGTAATGCTTTTCAAAATGCAAGCAGATGAGAGAAAATCAAAATATAGAAAGTTTATATATCGACACTTAAATGTAGCAATCGAAGATATAAAGTTTTTTTTTTAATGCGTTGACCACCATTATACATACTCTTAGTTAACTTCCCAATTAGGGGTTTAGATGGGTGCGGGCACGATAGTTATCCGATCATGTTGTTTTGAGTTTGAACTTTAAAGAATTGTTTTGGTGAAGCTATTACGCTATCTTGGTCTTGTCCGTAATCTGGGTCTTGTTTGAATCGAGCGGAATTGTGAAAGTTGTAATTTTCAGCCGAAGAATCCTTGAAAGTAGAGGGCAACAACAACAACAACAACAACCCAGTATAATCTCACTAGTGAGGTCTGGAGAGAGTAATGTGTATGCAGATCTTACCCCTACTATGAGTAGAAAAGCTGTTTCCAAATAGACGCTCGACATCCTTCCCACCAAGAACTCCCCCTTGCTCTCGGGGTGACTTGAACTGATTTGGAGGTGAAAAGCATCACGTGCAAATCACATGTTGCTGTTAGTTTTCTATAGGATATTGTGTTTTTGTTACTTGGACTAAAGACGCTCAACTTTTGTAAACTTAGAGGACAATTAGTGCTCGAGGTTATATTTGGATGACAAAGTTAAACTTACCTTAGAACTAGAATTTTAACAAAAAACTCTTGTTAAAGTTGTAAAATTCAGTGGGTAAATTACGATTTCACACACGCGGTTGGAAATTACATGGACAAAGAAGCGGACTTCCCGTCCGGCAAATCAAATTGGTAATTACACACTTTTCACTGCTCACTGGACTGTCAGTCCACTGCTCATCGTCCCGCCAAACTCAAAACACGGGTTTAAGCAAAAAACCCTAGTCTTCAATTTCTCTCTCAGTTCTTCAATTGGCCAAAGAATCGCTGCCGTAGAAGCTGCAAAGATGAGTTTCGCGGCGTGCAAGACAATGCATTGCCCCACCGGCATCGAGAGCTGCGCCGCCGGATTCATCACTCACTCCGCCGCCGATTTCACCCCGCAAATTCATACAGCCGACGTCGACTCCGATTGGCCAGCCACTAAGCCACTTGGCCCTATCCCGAACCTCGTTGTCTCGGCAGGAAACGTGCTTGAAATTTACTTGGTTAGGGTTGAACAAGCATCCTCCAGAGATGCCGCCGAAGTGAAACGTGGTGGCCTCATGGCCGGTATTTCTGCTGCTTCACTTGAGCTCGTTTGCAATTACAGGTATTTCAGTTTGGAAAAAAATATCATAAGACCGTTTTTTGATATTTTATTGTTAAAGTTTTTTTTTTTTTTTTTTTTTTTTTTTTGTGTGTGTAATATATGTAGGCTGCATGGAAATATATATTCAATGGGAGTGTTAACAGCAGGAGGAGTTGATGGTGGGAGAAGGAGAGATTCTATTATTTTGTCTTTTGAAGATGCTAAAATGTCTGTTCTCGAGTTCGACGACGCCACACATGGACTACGGACTAGGTAAACCGCAACTAATTCATTTGTGAGCCCAAAAACATCTGGGGAAAATAAGATGTTGAGCCAAAAGAACCAAAAAAAGAGAGGCTGTAGGTACCTAGTGGAAAAATCGAGGTGTCACAAAGCTGGCCCGGCACCACAACTATTGAGTATAAAAACACGAACAAGGAAAATAAAATTATTGTTGACGTTCTATGTCAAGGTGGTGAATTTTGTTAGATTTAAGCACCTCCCTTGTTATTGTGTTTTAAACAACTCTGGGAGCTCCACGTTTTCCATATTGACGTGTAATCTTATTGGACCCTTTAATGAAGATTCCAAGCTTCTGCAAATTTATTTATATTGCTACCTATTACTTGAGTTCACTGTTTTACTTGCTCTTAAAGTCTCTGCTCTTTTTTATTGGAAAACTTAACCTTATAAAATTCATCAAAATTGTAACTTAATACGTTCTACCCTATGAATTTTCAAACCTTTCACAATTCACACTTAACATTAAGTATGTTGCCCGCTACTTCTTGTTTCTTTATCATTTAAGCATGATAACTGACAAACTACATTGGAAATTTCCTTTTTTTTTCTCTCCTTCCAGCTCAATGCACTGTTTTGAAGGTCCAGACTGGTTTCATTTAAAAAGAGGACGAGAATCATTTGACAAAGGGCCGATTATCAAGGTTGATCCGCAGGGGCAATGCGCTGGAGTCTTTGCTTTTGAACAACAGATGATAATACTCAAGGCTGCTGAGGTTTTCTTTTGCTGCCTTTTTTCCTTTCTTAGCTAACCTGAACGTTGGTTGCTTAATATTTTGGACTAATCATGCTAAAACCATTTACGGTCAGACATTGCTGGCCAGCCTTCTTCCTGTTATCCTATTCATAACTTACCAGTATAGGCTAGAATGCAGAACCCCCTGCTGAAACTTGAATAAAAGTTGTTATACTATGTACTTTGATATTATTTTATCTGATTTCACAAAAGGACAGTTCAACTAACATTATTTTTTATTTGAGAGGAAGGTAATTGTATCATAAGCTACCACTAACGAGGTGCTGTAATATTTTATTAGTGAGCAGAAGACTAAAATAAGAAATCCTTCCCAATCTTACAGGATACTAAGCGGCAAATTATTGCTCCTGCTTTATTTACAAATTCCTCTGTACAGAAAAAAGAAAGTAAACATGTGTGGTTAAAGTTGATCTCTTGAGTTGAGTTAGCTTCGTCTTCGAAACATCTGATGTTCCTTTTCTTCCAAGGAGTCCACCATATGCGTGCTGGGTTGTGTTCCACCACAGTGTCCTCTTGCTCTTCTTTCTACCTCTGTTCCAACAGTTATACAATTCTGTGGTAGTTCTTGGCATTACCCATTTATAAGCCTGCTATAAATAAAAAATATGTGCCAAAGCTCGAAAAGGGTGATTTATTGAATGAAAAGCTTTTGCTTTCATATTATTTATGAGCTTAGCTGATTAATTTTCACAGGCAGTAGTATACTAACAGAGAACAGTGTCAAGTCAAAAAGAAATATATCTGGTGATAGTTGCTTTTCTTTGGTCAATGATCTGTATATCCTTGAGATTTGGGAGTGACTGAATCAATAGTATTGTGTCTACAGTAGTCACAAGGGAATGGCATAGTGGTTGAGGAATAGGAGTGGCAACTTGGAGATCCAGGTTCGAATACAATCTGCCACACTATGTGTGAGCCCATCTGCTCTAGCATTGGTGTGCAAGATTACTTGGCAACCTGTGCTAGGGGATCAGATAGGCTGCTCAGTGGTCCGGCCACCACCGATATAGAAAAAAGAAAAAATATTATGAGTAGCATGCTAAAGTGTCGTAATCTGTTGGTGTGGTTCTCTTTGTGTAATTGAAAGAATTAAGTCAATATGCCTGAACTACTACTCTTTCCATCTATGTGGTTCGGATTATCATGATTTGCTTATAATTTCTAGTGATATATCCTTATTTCAGATCAATTCTAGCTTAGTTGGTGAGGATAGTGCTTTTAGTTCTGGAGGTGCCTCAGCTCGCATCGAATCATCATATATCATCACCTTAAGGGATCTTGATGTGAGGCATGTCAAAGATTTCATATTTCTTCATGGTAGGTATACCCCAGCTGTTCCTCCTGTATCATTTTAAACTTTTTCCCCCTTCCCCATTGATTTTTAGTAACGTGGAGAGAGCACTATCACACAGTCATTATTCCGCTGGTATTACAAGAATTAAATTGAGGTTGAACATTAGAGAGTCTTGGAGTTCTGTTTTTCCCCCATGTAAATGGCTCAATGTACGTGGGTAAACTTTGTTATAGCCTATTGTAACTTCTTAACAGACATCAGAACTGGCTGAGCATTTTTGTTCTCTTCTGTAATAGATTAATATTTCTTGGCTGTGCAAATGTACTTTAATGGTGCCCCAGGGCTTTGTTTAGTGGTAGAGCGCAACTCATTATGTGTGGATTAGATACACATCACGAGTGCCAACCCTACCGCGAACAAAAAACTAAGTATTTAATTGGAGGAGGGTAGAGGGGTGGGACCCGAATTTCGATCAATGCAACGACTGGTCCTTGGAGATTTCTCGGTTATCCAAAATAAAAGGAAAAAGAAAAAGAGGACTTTGATGATTGTCTTCACAATGACGACTGATTCAGTTGACGTCTATTTGGCGGCAAGTAAATTGGTTGACTTCTATTTCTTTCATAATCTAGTATTTTTCCTATCTAATTAATTTATTTGATAATGGTGATTCGCATTGTCCTTCAAGTCTGAAGCTCTTCTTTTGTTTCCACCACCTGCAGTTACTCATGTTGCTAGTTTGAACTTTGTAATGTGCCTTTATGCAGGTTATATTGAGCCGGTCATGGTTATCCTTCATGAAAGGGAACTTACTTGGGCTGGGCGTGTCTCTTGGAAACATCATACTTGTATGGTCTCTGCTTTTAGTATTAGTACAACACTGAAGCAGCATCCACTGATATGGTCAGCTGTTGTAAGTTACAGTGATCTATTTTACCAGCATTTTTTATAGATGTTCTTATTAGCTTGAAGCAAAGTGAAAAGAGAAAACTGAGAAAGGAGAATACTCTATATGAGCTATTTACTGATGATAACTGTGTCGGATTTTAAAGCCTGGTATTTAAGTGGAGAAGGTAGACAGGTGGGTCCATTATCCACTGAGTTTCAAACCGTACTCCACTAGCCCTTGGGGATTTTTCGGTTATTACAAAAAGAACTGTATCAGATTTCTTTCTTTTTCGGTGTTGGGTTTGCTGGTGGAAACTAGGTAAGAAAGGCAGCTAAAAGTTAAAAAGGGTCTACTTCCACTATTTCTAAGAAGTACCAGTATACATGCACTTGATGATGACCTTCAGCTCCATAGTACTTCTTTTGACCTTGTTTGTATTCGTCCTCCTTTATTTTGTTTTTTTTTCTCCGTCTCTTTACATTTCCTTCCCTCAAAATATCTTCCTCTACTAACAATCTGAACTGGAGAGTTACGATGTTATTGCCACCGATTTGTCGTTTCCTCTGGTGCAAGATTTATCACTTTTGTTTCCTGCAGTACAAAAGTAAAAACCATGTTGCTTAGCAAGAAGGTAATTTTGAGATAAAGGTGCTACAGTGTGGAAAACAAGATGTTGCATACTAGGACTTGGTAATGGAAAGGTGATTTGAACTTATCAAAGAGAGAGTTGATTTGGTAGACACTTGGTACTCAAAGGATGATGATTCAAATAGATGTCATGATATTTCGCAAAAATATTTAAAGAGCACAGTGCAAAATTACTTCCCTCTTTAACAGAATTTGTGGCCGTTTTATTCTGGAACTTTATAAAATGTAGAACAATGAAAACCTGCTGTTTCATTTCGGTAAGAAGCTTCAGCCTGCTGTTAGTTTCCTTAACATCTTAGGCTGAGAGTTAAATGTCGTGTTATCTCTTAGTTTTTTTAATCCTTTTTCGTTTTCCAGTTTCCTTTTATTTTTCCTCTCGTGTTCTTCTCGTCTCTTCAACCAGTGCTGAACTGTATCACTAAGATGGACATTCATCGTAACTTCTCATTTCATGAATTTGGGATGCTTATTATGGATATTACACGGTGTCAAAATCTGCTTGAACCTTACTCCATTTAATTATATATTTCCTACATTAGACTTCACTTACTTTTTTCCCCCAGGATCTCCCTCATGATGCATATAAACTTCTTGCTGTGCCATCTCCTATTGGTGGAGTACTTGTTATTGGTGCGAACTCAATCCATTATCACAGCCAGGTCTGTTATCTTCATGAGATTCACAATCTGCTTATTCCTTCAACATATTCTTACAGCTTTCCTGCATACTATATTTTCATGTGCTGACTTTGATCTGCGTATTTTGCAGTCATCTTCTTGTTCGTTGGCGTTGAACAATTTTGCCTTCTTTGGTGATAGCAGGTTTTCCCCTTAGTTTTTACTGTCCTTGCACTCTCCCCTCACCAATTCCTGCAGCTTCACTGGATTCTAAAATTATAACTACTTCCAGCTTCACTTTCATTTATTAGGATCATAAATAATGGTCAATAACATAACATGGCATATTTTGTTTATACTTGAATATTGAAAAAGAAAAAGTTCTCTTTCTATCCGCTGGAAGTACATTTAACATTTGAGATTGTTAATAAAATGGACCTTAGGAAAACTCAACCCAGGTTGCACAAGACTGTATAAAGAAACAACCACCTATACTGTCAACTATTGTGAGACTCTTAAGGGTCGTTTGGTAAGATGCATTAGATAAAATAATGCATGCATTAGCTTTGTGTATTAATAATATCTTGTTTGGTAGATATTTTGAACCTATGCATTAGTTATGCAAGAATTAGTTATACATTCTATTTGGTATTATCCTATGCATAACTGATGCATAGAAAACCATGGTATTAGCAATGCAATGGTTTTTAATGCATGCATTAGCTTAGTTAA